GTTAACCATTTTTATTTTTTATACCATATTTTTCCTGTACATTGCTTGTTTCGATATGTTTAGATACACAAATACTACTGCGTTACAAACGCCTATTTATTCAGTACAGTCACATGCTATACAGTTTTGCAGCTTAGGAACAACAGGCTATACCACTGAGCCTAGATGTGCAGCAGGCTATGCCAGCCAGGTCTGTGTAAGTACATTCTATGATGCTGACAAAACAACAAAATCACCTAACGATGCATTTCTAAGTACGTACCCCCAGTGTTAAGTGACACATAGCTGTATTTTCATCTTTTTCTTCACATTGCATGTATGCTTCTTGACATTGCTTAAATTTATAAATCAAGGTCCCATTTATACTTGTATTACTACTGTATTAATGCTAATAATATTCTGTAAATGATTCTATCTTGATTAAAGCCAGGAGTGTCCATTTAAAAAAAAAATTTTTTTTGAGACAGTCTCGCACCGTTGCCCAGGCTGAAGTGCAACGGCGTGATCTCAGCTTATTGCCGCCTCCACCTCCCAGGTTCACGAGATTCTCCTGCCTCAGCCTCCTGAACAGCTGGGATTACAGGCACACATCACCATGCCTAGCTAATTTTTTGTATTTTTAGTAGAGACGGGTTTCACTCTGTTGCCCAGACTGGTCTTGAACTCCTGACCTCATGATCCACCTGCCTCGGCCTCCCAAAGCGCTGGGATTACAGGCGTGAGCCACCAAGCCTGGCCCAAAAAAATTTTTTTAATTGAGTTGAATGCCCTATTTGGTTTGAATTTTACATTCCCACAATGTGTGGCAGCTAATGCTTCTGGCATGTCTATTGAGAACATAGAAGTTCTCCTGGAACTAACAAATTACTTCCCTTCCAACACAATTATATAATCTGAGAGTTGAAAAGCACCCTAGAGATTATTCTGTGGCCCAAAGTCCCTCCCAATTAAGGAATCTCATCTAAAACTACTCAACTATGTGGGCAGGGAGGGATGATAATCTTTAGATTCCCCATGACACAGTGCTGCAGCCATAGTAGGCTCTTTAATACATGCTTTTGTTGTTTTTAATACATGCTTGTTGAATTGAACTGAACAAGTCTAAAACGGACATATTAATTTTCTTGTTCTACCCAGGCTTTAGCTGTAACACCCACTGAATCTGTAATTTAAAGCTCTGCATGATTCCTCTGCTCATTAACCAGTGTTCAAAGACATTCAATAAAGGAAACTCAGTGTTTCAATTCATTAAAGAACCTTCATTTTAACAGTTTAAAATTTTAAGCTCCTGTCCTGGCAAAGTGGCTCTTGCCTATAATCCCAGCACTTTGGGAGGATCTCTCAAGCCCAGGAGTCTGACACTAGCCTGGGCAACATAAGGAGACCCTGTGATATGGTATGGCTCTGTATCCCTACCCAAATCTCATCTTGATTTGTAATCCCCACCTGTTGAGGGAGGGACCTGTAATCCCTCCCATGTATTGAGTGAGGGAGGTAATTGGATCAAGGGGGCAGTTTCCACCATGCTGTTCTCATGATAATGAGTGCTCACAAAACCCCATGGTTTTTTTTTTTTTTTTTTTTTTTTTTT